TGATGCTGAAATTAATGCAATAGTTCATGATTTATTTGTGAGCATAAAATTAAAAACTTCTAATTATAAAAAAAGATAGCAAGAATTATGAAGCATATAAAAAGATATATAAAGGAAATAAAAATTTTATATCTGCAACTTTTTTTTTAATTTAAAACAATTTCAATATTTATCAATAACTATGATTTTGAAATTAAATATTATATCCTAACATTTCATCTCCTCAAGTAACAAATATAGTTTAAAGAGTTATCAACAATATAATTCATATATATGTAAAAAAATATAATTTATTCAATACTTTTATATACATTATCAGAATTTCGTAATATTGCAAATGTGTATGTGTGTGCGTGTATGTGTGTACAAGTTAATTTTTTTCATATATATATTTTTTAATACATTTAAAAAATACATTTAATACATTTATATACATCTAAAAATTTATAGATATTTAATATATTTTTTTTTTATTTACAGAATTGGTCGTGGCGGTCGGTTTGGTCGTAAAGGCGTGGCCATTAATTTCGTAACAGAAGAAGATAAAAGAACCTTGAAAGATATCGAGCAATTCTACAATACGCATATTGATGAAATGCCAATGAATGTCGCTGATTTGATCTAAGTCCGACTATTGGCTATAATCCATTATAATAAAAAAATAATAATAAAAAGTAAGTGACAGAAGCTCTCAGCTGATCGATCTCTCATGGTGTGTGAGTATATATGAGTGCGGTGGTGAACTATATCGCTTATGTAAACGCGATCTAAACCAAAATATTCCAACGTTTTCATATTCATTTTGAATTATAATAGTAGGTTACGGAAATAGTTATCTGTTGCGCTGCAGGAGTTAGTAGTACGACTATTATTACTAATTAGTGTAATTAGCACTACTGTTGCTATCGATATCGCTACTCTGCTGCTATTATTACTACTATTATTATTATCTCTATCGTTACCGCTATAGTAATATTACTATAAAATATTACTATAAATATTACTATAAATATTATATCATACTATCATTGGTATATTATTGGCATTGATTACTATCAAGATTATTTTTTATTTTAATTTCTAACTAATATAATATAATATTACTATATTATTATGATTGAAATATTACACCATAAAGTGGAAAATAGAATGAAAGTGCGAAAAATGCAGCATCGTGCAGTTCGATTATATTTTATCGCTATTATTGCAACAGGTTTTGTATTACCTAGCATGCGTTCGTACTCTTATCCCGTTGCAAGTTCAATGGTCATTGTAGAAATTTTGAAATCTTATTTTTTAAGACTTCTTATCTCGCCTATTTTCCCTCAAGATATTTCTAACTGGATGATTAAGTCTGTTATGTTTAATAATCCATATGCAATGCTTCTATCACCGCGACTACAACTTGTTTGTCTAGGCAGAGGCTTAGTTGGGTATTGGAGGGGATATTTTAATCACAAGCGTTGTCGAAGAAGACATATATTCAAGTTTAGGCAACATGAATTTTTGTATATCTAAAATCCCAGGCATACACACAAATACACACCTTATTCATATTAAATAAAGTATTTGATCTTTTAAGAGAGTGTAATCTTTGTTATTCGATCTTTACTTATCAAATTTTATTCAATTTTACAATGAAAACCCTAAACAAACTGTGTACAAATAAGATTCTAAAATTCCGAAAAAGACTTTGTGTTGGGAATAAATTTTGCTGTTTATGCGCTGAAAAAGTTCTCACAGTTTTCTTTTATTTGTATTTGCAGGCAATTTTGGACAGTCCAGATGAGGGCGACATATTTTTGGAAATAAAGACCAGATTTCCTGATTTAAAATCGAAGTTTTGTAAATCGATTACCTCTCTTAACTCCTTTCATAGAGCTTTTAAGGGCTCTAGCAATATTTTTTCTTTTTTATACTTTTACATTATTCTTGTTGATAAAAGACAATGATCAACTCTTATATGGAAGATTTTTTTTACATTTGTCAATAAAATTCTTTGTAAACACTCGTTATTGTATAAACTTCCATGCACTTATCGATGCCAGATATTAAATTGAAATGTTATATTGTGAGAACTTTTGTATCGTGTCTTTACAAAAAATAATTAAAAATATTGCGATATCACATTCTTCTGTCATCATTAAACATAAATTTACAAAAAAAAGTGTTAGTAATAGTTTTCGAAAATTTGAGCAAATAAATCACGTAAGCACTTAAGACGCACCTTGTAGCTATCAATTTCTGACTGTATTAACATTAATTTTATCTGCTCACGTATTTAGGACGCAGCTTGTGCTACTACAAAATCTTCTCGAATTTCCGAAAACTAGTTATTAAAAAATTTTGTAAATATTATGCAAGTGTAAATGGATTTTTTTTTTTTTGAAGAAATAGACTACAGTGTGTCTATCTCATCTTGTGTATTTGTATATCGTATAAATAATATTTATGGCTGAAATGAACCTATAAACTGATATATAATAAAGTGAATGTCCTTTAATTATATTTGTATTATATCGATATCATCAAGTGTGAAAACTGATTGCTTGAACAAATATTTGTACGCGCATAAGACTATGTTATACTTGCAGAACTGCAAAAAGACATGGAAGTTCTTCATCATTTGTTTATCAATTATAAATGCAAGATAGCAAAAGAAAGATTATACAAATTATTCTTAAGAAATGGAGTAAAATGCACGAACGCAAATACATTTCAATAGAAATATTTTTCGTAATTTAATGCTTTATAGATAAAGCGGAATTAAATTTATATAAATATTTTACAGTCTAATATATACATGGATACGCAAAAATTTTAATATAATTAAATTATATATACAATATAAATATCTGATATCTATAATTTTTGAATTCGTGGCATAACTATTGTACACGATATAGAATAAAATATGACATTTTTTTATATTTTAAGTACTTTACGCACCTAAGATTACATATGTAAAGAATTAAAAAATGGCACATTTAATTTTTTTAAAGCTTTCCTTTTTTAATCATGATCATAAATATAAATTCCGATTTGGATTTATTCCAATTCGTATATGGAGCGTGTACAATTTGCACTGTACGATATAAAGAACTGACCAATCACGTATCTAACATAACTGTATATTATGTGATTGGTTGGCAATGTTAAGTTAGGTTTCATGAAAGATTGTCAGTTCTTATTCAGGTTAGATATGTAATGTAATGTAACACATGTGCTTTTGAAGATATTTTTATTACATTTACTTCATTATAGGAAATAAAATAAAATATTACCATGTCTAAGCGTCCAGAACGTATGGCACCACCTGAGGTGGTAAGTTGTAAATATTATTAATTTATAAAATTGTTTGTTTTTATTATAATTACTAAAAATAATTGATAAATTAGTGAAGAGGTTAATTTTATATTTTTTTTATGTGACAGTATTATAATGAAACAGAAGCAAAGAAGTATACACAAAGGTATGTTCTTACATACAAAATTCATATTACAAACATCTATTGGACATTTATTTGCACAAATAAGATTCATACATTTGCAGCTCCCGTATGATAGATATTCAAGTACAAATGTGTGAACGTGCTATAGAACTTCTTCTTTTACCTGAGGATAAGAGTTGTTTGCTTTTGGATATTGGTTGCGGATCAGGCCTTAGTGGCAGCGTATTAGAAGATCAGGGACACTTATGGATAGGGGTCGATATCTCTTCATCTATGCTTGGTAATTATTTTAATTATTATACAATATAGTAGTTTTACTTTTTTCATATTATAATATTTTCTATGCTATTTTATTTCTATACTATTATTATATTATTATTATTCTTTACTACCCATGTTAATTATTTTCTATTTTATTTTCTTTACTATTTTGTTTCTATTAATTATTTTTTCTTTTGTATAACATTAGAAGTATATGATTGATATGTTATTTTTCAGAGGTAGCTAATGATAGAGAAACAAATGGCGATTTAATCCTAGGGGATATGGGTCAAGGATTACCATTTAAAGCTGGTGCATTTGACGGTGCTGTCAGTATCTCTGCATTGCAATGGTTGTGCTATGCAAACAAAACTTCACACAATCCTACAAAGCGTTTGTATTGTTTCTTCTCTACATTATTCGCATGTCTATCAAGAAGTGCCAGGGCAGTATTACAGTTTTATCCAGAGAATAGTGAACAAGTTGAATTAATTACTGCACAAGCTACAAAAGCTGGCTTTTTTGGTGGTGTGGTTGTTGATTTTCCTAATAGTACAAAAGCAAAGAAAATGTTCTTAGTTTTAATGACTGGGGGAGCTGCTCCACTCCCAAAAGCACTAGGCACAGAGACTGAAAATAGACAAACTGTTGCTAATTCAAAAAGGTTCGAATTTTATATTTTATCTATTATTTCTATTACATTTTGCAATTTAAATTGCACTTTTTAAATTGTATTTTATAAATTGTATATGCTTTTTTATTCATTTCATGTTATAAAATATTAATTGTTTTGTCAATTTTATATTACAGGGAATATATTAAAAAAGCTAGAGGTAATTCATTGAAGAAAAGTAGGGACTGGATAATAGAAAAGAAAGAAAGGAGACGACGACAAGGGCAAGAAGTAAGAGCTGATACTAAATATACTGGACGAAAAAGATCTGGACGATTTTGAGATATGCTTACAATGTGTAAAATATTTTTAAAATAATTTTGAATTAGTTATATATATAAATAATAAAATTTAGAAAAGCTAGTATCTTTGTTTCTGATTCACTTAAAATTTAATTTTAAAATAATGTGGATGTGATAAAATATTTTTTCTATGAAAAATTACACATTGTTTGTTAGAAAATATTTGATTGAAATATTAGTTTAATAATTGCATATAAATACTATATACATGAAGTAAAATATTAATATTAGTCTATTCCTTATATCTTCAGACTTATTTATAATTTGTTAACATTATTGATAATAATTGATAATGATGAGAATAAGGAAAGAAAAAATTAGAAAGGAAGAGCTCCGATATTTTATATTATTATTTAAGTAAACAACATGAATTGTGAAATACTTTTCTGTATCCCATGAGGTAAAATTTTTTTAAATTCTGTATCATCTAACCATTGATACTTTATATCATTAGTAACATTTCCATCTAAATATTTTGCCAAAAAATAAAATATTTTAGCACCATAAATTCCTTGATCATTAAGTTCTTTTGGATATTTATATTTATAAAATCCAATGGGTGCATTGCCATAAAAATTTGCTTTTATATTTGTGCCACATGTATCTTGTAATACTCTTTCTGCAGTCTATAAAGAAATAAGATAATATCAAATTATATCTTTTTCATTATTTTTGGCAATTATATACATATATAAATTTTATATATATATGTCTATGTATGTAAAATTATAGATACATACTTGTCTCATGGTCTCTCCTTCTTTTCGAATACCTTGAGGAGGTATCCAATAATATGTATCACCTACTTTTTGGTGTGTTAATAAAAGTAAATTTTTATCCAATTTTCGTTTTAAAGATGATGTTATATTTTGTTCATCAAATTCTAAAAACAGAATATAAATAATTTATGATTAAAACAATGATATATATATTGTATAACATATATAAAATGTCTTTATATTTTTATAAATATGTAAATTTCTTCTCTTTTTCTTTTTAATATTTTATATATATAATTTATTTTAATATATAAAAAAATATTTTTATTATATAAAGTTTATATTTATTACATAAAGTTTGCTTTGTATCTTATTATCAAGAAAACATACATACTTGTAACTGTTGGCGCAAATTTAAAACTGTTAAATTCTTCTTGACAATTATCTTCAAAGTCCTGTGCAGTTTGTATAGAAATCTTTTTATTTACATCTTTTTCTTTTGTGCTTGCATCTTTTGATTTCTTCTGTTTCTCCTCTTTTTCCACTCTTAATTCATGATCACATTTTAAACTTTTTTCATATTCAATCTTCTTTAACATGTTATAAAATTTTAATTCTATTTCTTGCATGGGTTGTATTATAACTGGATGGCGTTCTAAACAGACAGCGCTGTATAAATCCCATTTTCTTATACTTGCTGCGCTACTAAATGCTCGAGTATCCTGACATTGAACCACATTGAGATATATCGTGGCAGCTTTTCCTGATATACCTGCACAAAATATTTATGATTTCTTTCTGTATATGATAGACATAGTATACAATAATGATTATATCATCATAGTTTAAATAAAATATTAAGTCTGGAATTAAATATTACTTTTTTAAGTTAATATTTTCTAATTCTTAAAAGAAATATTAAGTAAGAAATATTAAGTTAAATAAAATATTAAGTCTGGAATTAAATATTACTTTTTTAAGTTAATATTTTCTAATTCTTAAAAGAATTTAAAAAAAAAGAAATAATAATTATGTTTATCTACCCGATAAGATCTGACATGAATTATACAATGTAGGTAATTTCACAGCTTGTTTAAAAAACATTTCCAACCAGGTATAACCTCTATAACCATACCACAAGCATAACCATAACCTGAAATAATCACCGCAGCTAATTCGATATATCTCGATCGGACCGATACTTCGAGAATCGCAATTGCTGTCAACTAGATTTCAAATCGCAGTCAGTCACGGTACACGGTACGCGTCGCGTCACTTTTTACTTCGCTCCGTCTTTATCGCGAATATTATTGTCCAAAAGTGTGAATCTTGTGTGAAAAATAGCAAATTGATTACTTCGCAAGGTAATATATCGCGTTAGTAATATATCGAACATTGATCAATATCATAATCCGCTTTTGTATAACCGTGTTTTGTGTAACCGTTATATTGCAATCCCTCGTTTTCCTCGCGAGTTTCACTGTGTTCAAATGTGAATCTTTCCAAGAAAAAATCGTCGTGAATGTTTCCTGAATACATTCGTCGTAAAATATCGTGTGCAATCGTTCGTCAAGATCGTTATTTCGATGACCAGCTTCTGTGCAACAATTACATTGAAATCATATAACTTTCCTCGCGAGTTTCATGGTCTAAAGAAATGAATCTTGCGCGCGATAAAATCATCGCGAGTGTCTCGTAAAGTGAATGCATTTTCGACGTGGTGTGCTACATGCTACATATCATCGTTATCGTAGTCCAGCATCATAATTTGGCCTTTATGTACATCCGGAATCGATCGAGAGATCTTCTTGGTATATTTCATCTTGCCTCGCCGTTCAAAAGTACAACGACTATTGCCAGGTATGTCAACACCTATCATCCAATTATATTTATCGCAATATGTAGATAGCAATTGATAGATAAGTGAAGCAGAAATCTTCTAAATTCGTGACGAATTTTTACATTAAATTATTATAGTTATAATATGCTAATTTTTTAATAATTTTTGTTATTTTTTAAAAATTTTATATAAATTCTAGAATTTTTTTATTAAATAAATTCTGTTTTTTTTTATTTATTGAAATATAGAAAAAATTATTTATTTTGTTAATAAATTATTTTATTTCTATATTATATATAACGATAAATTGGCAAATGTATAATTTACTATGTTAGTATCATGTCGATCATATAGTTTTCTTTAATCGATAAATTACCCAACGATGAAACAATTTACTATGTTAGTATCATGTCGATCATATAGTTTTCTTTAATCGATAAATTACCCAACGATGAAACAATTTACTATGTTAGTATCATGTCGATCATATAGTTTTCTTTAATCGATAAATTACCCAACGATGAAGCATTTAGTTAATTAAAATTTACAAAAGTATATTTAGAATCTATCAACAGATTTTTCTATCTCATCGAGATATCGAGATTTTATAATATTTCGTTAGATAACTTTTTCTTTTCAAAAATGTTTTTATCGATTATATATAGTATGCTATATCTTTTTTATGATATAGTATTATGGTGAGATGGCAGTAGTATCCACAATAACGAGATTCTGTGTATTTTCAAAAAATTATAGATTTTTATGAATATCATACGCAATATTTAAAAAATTCTATATTTATATATATATATATATATATTTATATACATATATATATATATATTTTTGTAAAATATACGTGAGAATTTCAGAGATATCTTTCTTAGATATATTTTAGAAAAACTTATTTCTTAATTATATATTTTATAAAATATAACACACAATTTTTTTATATTAAGCTTACAACATCTTACAACATTGTTGTAAGATTATGTAATGATTATTTTCATATGATAGTAACGATATTAAAATGATTATTTTGTTTTATCATATAATTGAGATTTTCCACAAAGATAATTAAAAAAACATATATGTTATGATTAAAATTTAAAATTGTAATCCAAATTGAAAATTGTTATATATGAAATAACTTATGGAATTTATATTTTGCATTTATATTTTAAATATATTGGCATTGATTATAATTTCAAAATCTGTTTAGTCAATCAGAGTAAATTATTTATAATCAGAGTAATTTTTTTCAAAAAAATGGTAATAATTTCGAACTTAATTCGACAAACATATTTAGATATTTTATTTATAATCTCGCCAATTGCAATTTTTATTTGAATTTTTTTGATGTGTATGAATCAGTATAATAAAACAAGATTTATTATACAAAAAAAATCTGACTGATTAACTTAATTAAGATAACAAGACGTATTTGGTTCTTTGAACTTGACTCTGATCATTTTTCTAATGCAACGAAGTGTAACGCGGGGCGACGCTAACTCTGAACAGGTGAATGAGTACGGGAGGGCACGAATGATGAACGTTGGGGGTGTAGGAAACCGATAGAGGATACGGGCGTCGGATGGTGTTGGATCTCTTGACGGGTGCATCGATGTCCACTGGCTCCCAAGGGAAATCCACTTCATGATGGGAATCCCATTATTTCCCGAACGATATAAAAGTAGGTAGTCCAGTCGTCCACGTGCTGTCCAGTTGAGGCTATTCCGATGGCCGTCCTCCATCCTCCCACGCCACATTGAGGCTTTCTTTTTCTCCGCTTCTCTCCTCCCTCTCTTTTTGGTTGTCTGCCACTATCTTCTCTCTCTTTCATTCTTTCTTTATCTCTGTCTCTCATCCTTTCCTCTTACGCTGTTACTATCATTGTCTCCTCTCGTTCGCTCTTACATCTCACTGTTCTCCGTTCATTCGCAATCCATTTGATTTCGAGCCTGTCTCTCGGAGGCGACGCTTTACTACAAAGGACCATTTTTAGTTTAGATTAATACCATGTATTGTCTCTCTGAGATTCCACACTTCAAGTACGCAATTTAATAAACGAGTTCTGTCAATTTGATTTTTTTCATAAAATAATACATCGTGACGATTTAGACTTGCAATTAAATCAAACAAAATAAAAATATACATATTTCTCCCCAAAAAGGATGTACAATTTTTCTATTACATCAAGGATAAATATTTAAGATACAAATCGTATTTATCGGGACGAATTATAAAACGCGAAAATCATAAAATAAATCATGAAATCAAAACTAGCACAGTATATAGATTTTTGCGAAAATGACGTTCGATATCGCTTCGATTCAATCGAGAACGCGTTTCGGCCGAAGCAATAGACGAAAGTACCACGCTGGGAGAGCGGCTTGATAAAGAATTCCATCCCGGGGCTCTGAAACGGTCGTACAAGGCGCGGGCAGTATAAAATAAATATGTGAGACGCACAGGGGGGGGGGTGGCACTCTAGAAAAGATGGACGCCTGGAGAGGGCGTGAGTCCTCGGTACTGCCTCTATAGTGGGGAAGAGTGGAGAACGGGCTAGGTTGGGTGGACCGTGTGGAGATCGGATGCAGGACTCGCGTGTGTGTTGCTGGGTAATTGATTTCTTTGATACCACCCGCGCCAAAGGAACATTGTAGATGCTTGCCTGCGTACGTAGGTAGAGTTCTCGTAGTAGGAAGGGGCGCGAATGCTTCGATCTCTCTCTCTCTCTCTAGCTCTTTTTCTCTTCGTTTCACTCTCATAGGAGTAGATGGTGGCTAAAGGGAGGAGAATCCTCCCTAGGATATAGAATGTAAGAAGGGGGAAGAATCGAGGACGGTGGCGGATCTACCGTCCTTCAGATCGATGGATATCTCTGCGCCGGACAAGGCCCTCTACCCTACCTATCTAGCTACCCTTCCATCTTCGCCCCGAGGATGACCAATAACAAACACCGTCGCTTCTCTCTCTCTAATGGAGTTTTTACGGATAAAAAATTCACTCCCTTTTCTCCTTTTTCCCGCGGACGGTTCCTACCCCCGTTTCCTCAACTACTCTCTACTATCACCAGCGAACACTCACGCCGGTTTGTTCGACTGACGGACCACTGCACTTTTCAAACGCTACCTATGGAATGACGCTTTCTTCGCGATATCTCCGAGTTACGATGTGATCGTCGCATTTGACTGAGAATATACTATACGGAGTATTGAATGATTAAGACACTTATAAACGAGGGGATATTCCTGATAATTTGTTGTATATGGACTAGCGTATACATTACGTGTCTAATAAAAATTACAAATGTTAGAATTGACAAGAATGTTAAATAATATGGCATGATATAATTGTTTTGTATCATATTTTTAAAAATTTAGTAAAATATATATGATTTTATATATGTTTACATCAATTATAAAGTATGCATCGAAATTATGTTAAGATTATATTAGTGATGGTAATTGCTTAAATTATTTTTCTCTCTTTCTATTTTTTTATTTTCTCCATCTTTCTCCTTTCTTTAATTATAGAGAAAGAGAAAGATAGAGTAAATGAAAAAATAAATAAAAAAAGAGAGAGAAAGAAGAAAAAAGTCACTTAATCAATTATCACCACTGATATAATCTTATCATGTACATAATTTTAATGCGTATACTTTATAATTAATGTAAATATGTATATAAAATCATGTATATATATAAAACGAATCTTAATAATGAGCGATTCTTAAAAATAAAAATCAAGATATTTTTAAAAATTCTACACGATGTGTATAAAGAACAGGTAGCTTGAAAAGGTTTTGAGATTATGATCGTTGCATTGTAAGATATGCAAAGTGACACGTGGATGTTGGAGAACTAGGCAGTTTGCGGTCGTTGAATGGCGGTAGTGCGGGGTCGGTTGGCTTAGTTCGGCCAACAGGGGCCGGGAATTCGAGCTCTGTCGTGTGCTGACGGTATGTATCGATTGTTCTGCGATATAATGCTAGCCCTGCACATATGAGACTATGCGGGTGCTTCGTGTCGAATTTGTGTACCTGATTCTCCTTTACTGTTGTCGTACGTAGAAATTTTCGTAAGTATTTCATGTGACAAGTTTTATTAAAGCAGGAAGAGGAAACTTGTATATTTTTTTCTGTGACATCTGTATTGAAATTTGAAAGTGCAAGAAAAAGATCATTATTCATGGCAGTTTGCAAATATTTAGAAACGTTACAAAACGTCTTCATATTTAATATTCAACAAAATACATATCACAATAGAGGGAGAAAGAAATTTAATTAAAAATCAGAATACAATTATATA